GATCCCTGGCAAAGGGCTGTTCGATAGAAGGCCACGTGCTGTATTTAAGGTGTATTTACCTTTCACAAGAATGAACAGGGGCCTTTTCTTCAGTTAGCATGTCCCACAGCTTGGATCAGTTGCTAGAGGCTCTTTCTTGAAACAGCAACTCTCCTGATACCTGCTGTGCAGACCTCAACCCCCTCCAATTCTAGAAATATAGAAGTCCCATTGAAAAGGCAAAAGCCATATATTTACTTGGAAGATTTTGCATGACCACCTTCACCTCCACATGAAAAAGAGGATACAGGTCTTCTCATGCATCCTACCAGACTCCAGTCAACTTCAGCCCAGTGAAGGACTGGCCAGGGTCCTGTCGTGGAACAAGCACAACCAAGCCCATTGCCTGAGCCTGGTGCAGACTCTGACACACAAGCGCTTTTCAGGCCGTCTCTGCGACACTAGGCACCTAGGTACCTCTATAGGCAGGTAGCCAAGATGAACCAATGGCAGATACAAGGTGATGCTGGAGATTTGGTAACTCCCATCATTTACTGCAACACTCAGGCAGTTACTTGCAAGTAATCCACTTTGTCTCCAGACTTCGACTTTTGGCTTTATGTTCTTTTTTATGATAATACAGTTCTTGAAAGTGTGCTAGGATTTTAAGATCCAGGTCATCCCAGGGGGTGGGAGAGGCAAAACGATTTCCTAAAACTAATCCAAACTTACCAGTAAGCTGCAACCTGCACAGCTAGAGGCCAACAGCTGCTGTCCCACACCCATGCCACTGTAAGGAGTGGCCATGTATGTGTTAAACATCTGCAACTGCCGAAGGCTCTAGTGAGAGATCAGAGACCATTTATGATATTTCTCTATCTCAGCTGATGGTCTCTGTCACCCCTTGAGAACTTACAGCTTGGTGCCACCTCCCAGCTTCCTGTAAGCACACCCTACAGAGGATATCGTTCCGTGCCAGCTGCAACACCACCATCCGTAAAGAAGCCAAAGGTGCACACTTTGCTGTCAACTGGCCTGCTCTGCAGCCATCTCGGACAGAACATGCACCAGGCTGGAACACAAACCAACCTTGCCAAAGCCTGTCTTGGCCTCCCAAATCCTCAAGCAACTGCCTGCTGGAAAGCAAGTCACCTCCTTGCTGTACTACCATGGTGTTCTTACATGGTTGCTGGAGGGGGGAAATATCCTAAATTCAGCCATTGGCAAGGTAAGTAGGAAGTTTACTTCCAACACTACTGATTTTCCTCCTGGTACCTTGGAAACGCAAAGCCTCAGGAAGGGTTCAAAGAAGACTCAACATCTAATGCCCAGGTTTTAGAGCAGATATTGTACACATGCTCCTAACTGTGACTCCTGGCCCTACGTAATCAAAAGAAAACTCCCACAACAAAAAGGTTGACTTACAGTGATGTAGAAACAGGATAGACTCAGAAAACAATTAAGTTCCCCAATTCATCACATAAATGTAGGCAAATATTTAAAACCTACTGTAGAATAGGGCTCATGCTTATTTTACAAGTAAGCAGTGCTGGAAACAGGACTGTAACATTTATATTTGATACCCTTGCCTCAATAACAGTGTCTGCATACATGCAAGGTACAAGGAAAGAACTGCCTATAGGTCAAACACCCAGACCCACAGCACAGACATAATCAAAAAGGCTCGCTCTTTATTTTAAACATAAAAAGAAACATTTTACACAGCATTGTTAGAACTACTCGGTACCTGCATTCCAGAATTGTGCCAAACACTTTATTTTATAACTTTGAAATGAAAACAAAAGAAAGAAAATATCTTGCCCTTCTGCTGTTTGATGTTCAAGCTTGTCCTGGATCAAAATTCGAAGTGCCTGGAGGAATTTACCAGCTTAACCAGGAGATGTGGCAATGCAAACAGAGGAAGTTCAACGTGAGCCCTTAGGATACTTTGACAATACCACAGGTTGCAGCAGGGAGGATATGGATGTTTGCGCTGCATCTCAGGCAGCTTACTCTCCTGATACTCTGCAGGTTTAATACACAACCAGATGCACACACACACCTCCACTCACACAAACCCCGGTCACACAGGAAATAATAATAATAAAAAACATGAAAAGTGACCTAGATTTTTTTTTCATTAGAGATAAGATTCCCACTCTATTTTAAAAAAAGGGGATAATACAAAATTGGCACAAGTAGAAGGAAACCTGGGGGGTAAGTCTAGCCCCTCAGCTTCTAGCCTTCCAACTACAGCAAATACAGGGTGGAAGGGGATGCAGCATTGCCTTCCAAGGGGCTGGCAGCAGTACGAGCTAGCAGCAAACTTGCTTCACTTGGAATGACCAAGATGGTTTGTTATGGGCCATGAAGGAAGGTCAGCATTAGCTAAGAACATGGGGACCTTTCATTGGAGCTGGGAGCTCTGACCAAAATAACCCTGAGTTTTTTTCCAGCAGGGAGAAAGTGTGCTATGTTATGTGCTTGGGAAGAGCTGGCGGTTCCCTGCTCGTTCATTCCCTAATTATTGCATTACAGTCATGATCCTCTCTCTCTAAAACTTAACCAAGAGCAGATAAATGGAGTCAGCCTGCAAGGACAGAAAGTGACTGTGCTTCGAACTTCACCACCACCCCTCCCAAGACACCCCAATGCCACAGGCCTTCCGTGAAGAAAGCAGATGTTAGTGCAGGAAAGAAGCCGCTAGATCAGTGTGGGCAGGACAGCCAGCATTCCAAATACCAGAATGGTGCTTCACAACATCCAAGGAAAAAGCAAGATTTCACTACAGCAGACAGATAGGAGAGGAAGAAAAAAATCTTGCTATTAAAGTAGTATCCGAGTGAATCCTTTCCTCAACTCCCTTCCTTCAGAAAGTGTCACTACAGATTTCTGGGCTTTCACAGTGGAAGCTAGAGACTGCTTCTGCCCTGTTCCTCAGCAGAGGCAGCTACAAATGTCTGCAACAGGCCTTTTCAGAGCTCTTCCAGAAAGGAAACCATCAAGCCAGAAAGAAAAGTTGCTATGAATGTTCAGGGCTAAAGTCTTCCAAAGGTGTACAGATATTGGGTGTTTTGGAACACTACAGGAAATGTCTTAGAGAATCAGATAACAACTTGCAAGCCCCAACTCTGCAAATCAAGTCCATTTTGAAGAGTCTCACATTCAGCTTCCAAAAATCATTGGACACCTCTGTGACTGCACGTGTGTTTGCACACGGGAAGCAGAACAGCCTTCTAGAAAAATCCCTCACGTCAGCCTCAGAACAAAGGTCACAATGCAAGACAGGAGCAAACCACACAAAGAAAACTTACCGGAAAAAAACCATAATTTTGGAATAGCAACAATGTTGAGTGCAAGGTTCCACAAACACTAATGTGAAATGAAGCCTTCATAGCACAGATACCAGACCTGCAGCTCCCCTGGAATGTGCAGTGGGATGAGCTATTAATGAAGCAGACTGACTACACAACAAACGTCTAGACTGGCAACAGCACACCACAGCCACTACCTTCCATGGATGCTCTCCATGCATCTTTTCTTTTACCTTAAAAAAAAAAAGTTGGAAAGTATTGAGGCCTGGTCTCAACTCTACATTTCTCACCCTTCTTGATGTGAGCCAAACCCTGGCTGTGACGTCAGGTTGCGGTAGTGTCTTACTTCCCTGTTTGTTTATACACAGTATCTTTATTCTGACTTTTATTGCTTAAAACACCAGCTGTGCTGGGAAGACAGAACTGCCTGGAAAAGTAGCTGCTCCCAGTCAGGAGCCAGGTCAGCACATGTGGAAGACCAAAGCAGGACTTCTATACTATAGCACCTATGAATAGGTCTCAAACCCATGGGGAAGCCCTGCTGCAGGCCCATGCACAAGACCACAATCATTGGAACCTGAAGGATTCTTGCTGCCCTCTTGGGCTTGCTCCTATTCCTACCCTGAGCTGCACTTCAGCTACTGCAGATCTCAGACTCTGCTCACAGGTTCAAGGGTTACCATTGAGTGACTGGCAGAAGCAGCATTAGAGTCTGGTCTGTGCATTTAGTTATACATAGTTTACAAGTCTTCTCTGAAAATGATCAGTTTGTCAACTGCAGATGAAGATCCATCTCGTGGTTTCTGGGGGGTTTTTTGTGTTTTTTTTGTATTTTTTGGGGCTTTTTTTCCGTAAGTCACACCATCAGCAGTGGGGCAAGGTCTCCCACCTCTCTCTGCTGAGGGCAGCAGAAGGCTGGGCCTTGTCCCTAGACACCACGTGCGCCCCTACCACAAGCAGAACAGGGTCTCAGGCACAACGTGAGCAGCTGTAGTGGAGAGAAAAGAAGGTGGAAGGGTGGGGGAGAAGGTAGCCACAAGCAGACTTCTAACAAATGCTTGTCTGAGGATTGACTCTTCAGGGTTGCCAAGTTAGACTCTGTTCACCACAGGTAAGAGCTTCGAGCACCGAAAATAATAAAAAAAAGTTTAAAAAAAGAAGTTTCTCAGACCTCCAGGCAAGTTATGTTTCGGGTTAACTGCAAACCCTTTGAAAGCCAGGGAAGAGAAGGCATGCTGACAACCATAATTCAATTCTTTGCTGGGACAGTCTCATGAGGCATCAGCAGAGGAACCTTCTCCAGTCTTCAATCCAACACAGAGAAGTCTGTGAGATATCAGGATGGACAGAAAAAGGGACTAGGATGGTGTGATGGGGGTAAAGGGGAAAAGTAGACTGGTTAATACAATGAAAGTCTAACACTTCTACCAGTCCCTTTCCCACCCATCGCCCTGCCCATCATGCTTTCATACAGGGACATCTTTTCAAAACCAAGGGGGGAAGGAAGAAAACCCCACCAAACAAAACAAAAGAAAAAAAAACATTAGTGAATTTTGTCACAAGGCTCTGCTGAAAGAAGGCTCAGCAGTCTGCACATTAGAAGGACATGATCCCTATGCAGAAAGTGCTGCTGGAAAAGGAGAACTCTGAGTTCCTAAATATGGCCTGAATGCTCTCAGGACATGACGTGTAACAAGGAGAAGCTTGAGGTCCAGGCTGAAATCAGAGAGGAAATGCACTGTCTTGTCTGGGCCTGTGAGCAAGTGTCTCAGCACAGTCCAAGAGCCCCGTGAGTCTCTCCCGAAACGCAAGTGTGTCTGGCTCCCACGCTCAGTCCATCTCCATCGACATTAGCCGGCGACGCTCTCGTCTTGTTTCCTGCACTTCCTTCTTGCAGCACCAACGGGAGCTGCAGTAGCCAATGAGGCAGGATAAGAGTCCAATGACAGTGGCCAGACCAATGCCAATCAACAGGGGATACTTGAAAGCATTCAGAACTGAAAAAGGAAGGCAAAGTCATTAGATATCACTAAGAAATTCAGAGACCCCCTTCATTTGTTCTTGCCCAAAAAAGGAGAAAATCCCACATTTTTCATTCATGGGCAGATTAATTATTTCAGCAGGAAATCACACTAATTTTCCTTCTTGATTTCTGTCTTTTGAGGTTTGGAAAATTAGTGTCTTACTGTACTCCCTTACGTCCTCATCCTAATTCTTCCTCCACCATTTCAAAGCCTCAGGGAGGCTGGAAGCACCAGAGAAACCTTGGAGTGAGATAGTAAAGTAGAGCTAGTTCCAAGAGGTATTCCATTACCTGTGCCTCCGCACAAAAGCCTTGTAAAATTTCCCCATCAGAGGCAGACTGTGGCTGCACTCTTTGTAATATGTTTTGCAATGGCACGGAGTGGTCTCCTTCACGCTTTGCTTGATTAAAACTACTTGTACAGTATATTCACTGCCACTCAACAACCCTGTCTAATCAACGTCCAAAGTTGGTACCTGAGGAAGGAAGTTGATTTATAGGCACCTACTGCTCATTTAAAAGGCAGGGTCAAGAACTGTAACAAGTTTGGAAAGTACAGTTATAATAGTTATCTGCACAGTAGGGAGAACAAAAATTTCTGATTTCTTTCAAGTTCATGGAACTTCTCAATATTTCCAGGAAAGGTCATACTGAGAAGAAAGCAACTAGTTCAAAACCCCTCCTGCATTAACTTCCCCCCTTAGCTACGTGCTGAATGCATCATCTATCATGCAACTTGCTTCTCAAGAAGTCTAGCAACACTTGCAACTCAGATTGGAAAGCAGACAAGGCATTAAGTGCAGGGAGCAGCACGTCTTGTGGTTAGCAGAGGGAGGAAGGAGTCAGAGCTCTGATCTTCTGTTCTCAGCTTTGATATTAACCACAATGCGCCTCTACTTCAGCACGCCCCATCTGCAAACCAAGGCTTCCTCCTGCAGGCAGCAGAAGGGTTAACACTTGGAGAGAATTCTATGCCTTGACTGAAAGATGCCCCAGCTATGCAAAACATCACCAAGAGATGATCAAGAAAGAGAATGCTCCAGTCTTATGAGTCTGACCTATTCAGGCCTACCTACTCTGCAGAATCTGGAACCAGAAGTTGAAAACAATAGGAAAGGATAACAAAATCCAATGAGATTATCACAGGCACCGTTAAAAATAGCAATGGAGAATATTTGTCACAGAAAGACATAACAAGGTGTTAAAAAAATATTGCATAACATGTTGCAATCTCTTACCATCCATTTTCACAGACAGAAAGATGGGTTTGGCTTTGATGTCAGGTTCCCGCTGCCATATGCCGGTGGCAGATCGCACCCACGGGGTCACTACGCAGTAGTGGTTCCCAAAGTCATGGTCCTCACAGCCATGCACGCGGAGCCGGAATTCCAGTGGGCTGATTCTCTCCAGGCTGAGGTCACTGCTCCCATTTCTCCTGCTCTGCGTGACAATCCCTCTCCGGTCCAGCGAGGCCAGCAAGACAGGCTCTCTGTCCAATGCAAAGGAGCGCACAGCAAACCAGGAGACATCAAAGGACATATCATCTGCATTTGTGGGCAAAGAAGAATTTGGACATGTTGTTTGAGCTCCGAAGAGTATTCATAGTGCCACTTTTCAGCAGAAAGGTTAACCTGCAAGCAGCATAGCCAACACTGGTCTGAGAGTGGAAGAAAAAAAGAAAAGAAAGGAAAAAAGAAAAAAGGAAAAAAAGAGCGCACTGAACACGTCCTTTCTAGGAGGATTCAAACAACAAACTGCAAGGAAATGCACTGGCATGAAGAACATAGCTGCATGGAAAGGGTGACTTACTACAGGGCTGACAAAGAAGTTTTCTTGCTTTCCTGCCTGTCATTCTAAAATTTATGTTTTACCTCTGATTTAAGTTTTCACCAAGCAGGTCTAGTGTAATAAGAAGCTCTATAACTATGTTGAACCTACATTGAAAAGGGATTGGAAGTACTAGGGATTTGCTAGCAGACAGTGATTTGCAATCACTATCTTAATGCAGGGCCTACGCAACCACAAAGTCAGAAGGCTCTTTCCTGAAGAGTCCTTCCTTACATTTCGTCTGCCTTAATGCATACAGAGATTCTATACAGAGCTCAAACAATTACCTACAAAAATAAAAAGCATTCAGGAGCAAAGCCTGGTCACAATGCTTTTATGTTTCTTCCAGAGTTGTGGGTTACTGCCACGCATCATCAGGCATCACACCTTGTACAAGTTTTACCACCCACAGAGATAGCCTATAAAATGCATTTACAACACTTTTAATATTTAACATAGCTGACAGGTAGTCAGAGTTCATCAACACATTTGGGTCTTTCCATGTTCATGCAAGATCCTATTGATCCCATTAGATCTCAGTCTTAACCCTATCAGGCTGATGTAGCTGAGTATCTACTTTAAAAATAACTGTTATTCTTTGCTAACAAGAGCCCAGCGACACCTGTCGGAGTCTGAAACCTGGCATGACCTACAGCACACAGGAAAGCCTGCTCACTTGTTTCATCAACAGGTCTTTCTTCCCAGCACATGAGCAAACTGATGGGCCCAAAGAGGTTACCATTTCTGTCCTAAGTTTTGGCTACTGGTAGAATGTGTGCACAGGGCTTAACCTGTTCACATCTAAGACAATCCCCAGTGATTTTTCCATTTGCTAGTATTGAGACCTCTGAAAAACACAGCATTAGCAACCCGAAATTTAAAAGTGATCTTTTGTCTAATTGAGTTTGCTCTTTTCTAAACTTCCACGTTTGGTCTCCAGGCTAACGGAAAAATTAAAGCCCTGAACCTGCTGCTGTACTCAAATTCTTTGCGGATATAAGCGAAGACAATTTTTAAGCCTCTATCAGGCAAGCTAACACTTCAGGAAGGAAGGGAACCTTAAAATAATATTTTAAAGTGAAGTAAAGGGACATCCTCAGGTCTACTACTTGAAGTATAGCATTAAATAGCCAGGTAGAACATTTCCTCTTATTGCAGACAAAAACCACCTACTGTTTGGGGTATAATTAACTTCCCTGTAAGGTGCACTGGTTTTATACACAAAAAAAAACCAAAAAGATGAGAAAGCAGATGTTATTATCAGAGACACTGGCTGATCAAACTGTTTTGAGACACCAGCCAGCTTCCTGCCCTGCCTGCCATGGCCAGCTGCTCTGGGTGACAGCACAGAACCTCAAGAGAGCACCCTGTCTGTTTTGCAGCCCTACAGCAGCAGTAGGTTTCCCAGTCCTGCACTGGAGTCAGCATAGGTCATATGGACCAGCAGCCCTCACAACAATCACCCTTGCCTATCACTACAAATACTACTCTTGGTTACTTGGCATAGCACTTGGATCGCTTCCCTTGAAAGCAAAGTTAATAAAAATTACCATAAACACATATGTTCAGTTAACGGGACCAAACTTTGACCTCTGGTTTGTGTACTCACCCAACTGTCTGTTGGAAACAGGGCCTCTGCTGGAGAGAGCTCTGTTTCTATAAACTACTCTTCGCCTCTGCTGCCTGTTTATGCCAAATACGGTAATAGCACTGGTCCACAGGCAGTCACGTTGGGAACAACCAATTCCTTCCAAAGATCATCAAGACTGCCATTAGCTCTTATATTTCCAGGTGCCTTAGAAGCATATGGACACCTTCCAGGCTAAGTCCAACTATGCTGAACACACCACTGTACTTGCTAAAAAAGATTTAGACAATAAATTTAGCTATAAAAGAAAAACTATCTAGCCTTCACATTCCCAAGCCACTTGCTACCTTTGAAGAATTCCTTCTTTTCAGTCTCAGTTTGAGGTTCCTTTCCCTCCACATACAAAGATGAGTGCAGGCACTTGCTGTCATTCTAAAATAGCTGAATCTATCTTCTGTAATTACAACATGGAACAGTATTATGTCAACATATTTTATTAGTCAGTATACACAGCATGCAATTAGTGACTCACTACAGACAGTCAGAGGGAGGATTTGGCTCTGAGTACTCTTTGTCACTACCCTTCTTGAAATAGCTTAACACAGCAAAGTTGTCTGATTCATTTCTATGTATCTCTGGTTTTCATGAAACAAATACAGGAAAATTTAGCAAAACCAGGACACAAATCAGGAGCTCTCTAAAGATCAGTGATAAACATGCCCAGCAGCTCCCAAGTGCTAATAAATATGTAGTTTTACTGACACAAAACAGGTCATGCACTAGGCTTCGCAAAAGCATCTCTACCATTCCACACACACCTTGCAACAATCTTGACAAATCACTTACAATTTTTGTCCCTAATCTACAAAAAGCAAACCCAGCCACAAGAACCACACTCACACTTAACACTATGAAGGTTTCTTTCACTGGTTCCTTTCATGCTTCATAGTGTTGCAACTAGTGTGGGACACCTGGACAAGGTTCCCCACATTAGAGGAAAGCATAATGTCCCAGTGCCAAGCTCAGAAGGCCATCAAGGACCTCAGTGCTCCCAGGGCACGCAACTCAGCTGCTTTCATAAAGAAACAGAAAGCACTGGGAGCTGGATGCTTCGGAGCTCTGCAAGCAAAGTTACAGTGGTGCTGTGCTTCCTCCCCTCCTCAGTTACTGAGGATCATCAACATGTATAGCACATCTTTATGCACATTTCGATTTGACACACAGGACTAAGCTGTCTGGGTCTTAGCTGCCTCCCTGGCCAATCGCTCCTCAAAACAGGGAATCTATTTCTAGACCAGCTCTTAGGAACCACACACTTTCCACTGCTTAGAATGGAGTCCTCTCAGCATCTTGTTACAGTGCTGAATCACAATTTTGAGACCCTTTTTGTTTACTACATTTAAATGAGGTTGAATAGGGCTTCCTAGAGAGCAGAGCAAACCACTTCAAACCATACAAGAGGTAAACAAGCTGGTTTTGTTAAATTCTCCAAAGTATCCACTGGGTCTGTCTGGAGCAGCTTTTGTACATTCAGGGCACAGAAGAACTACTATTCCCCCCTGACACACACATACTCCCCCCCTCATATCAATTCAAAACACCAAGCACAGCTCCCAAACCAAAGGAGCACTTCTTTAGATGGAACAGTTCTTGCCATGTACTGAGTTTAGTAATACACACTCCATTTCAGCAGGGTCTCAAAGAAGCAGAGGAAATTAAAGCACGCAGCAGTCATGCCAAAACCTCTTCCATCCTTTTGAAAATTTCCCACAGGGTGGGTACACACACACACACACACAGAGTGTCGTGAATTGTCTCTACCAGACATGGGTCCAATCCTTAAGCAATGTTTCTAGAAACAATTGGATCAATCTAACTATAACAAAGAGCAGCACTGACAAAGATCATTGGTCATTTAACTTTTCCTCAGCCCCTTGGAAGTACTTTTACTCTTCTGATTGCGTATACAAAGAGAGAGAAGAGATGGCACCTCACCCCTCAACTTATTACAGGAAGCATACATACTAATCCACATGCATGCTTGCAAAGCTGAGTGCCCAGGTGTACAAGAGCAGAGCTAGCTGGCATTACCAAGTGTGTTCAAAGTGTTTTGGATGCGCATCTAACAAGACATCCTACGAAATTCCCTGACTCTCCTTTGCTCACAAGAGGGCCCAAAACACAGCCCTGCAGCAGGTCTCACACCAGAAGAGTAGATGGCCTTTGAAAGGTATCACATCCCTCAGAAGAGAGTCAAATGCTCTGCTCTCCTTTCTCATCACATTCACACATGCAAAGACCATGTCTGTACTGCTGTCATCTGTCTTCTTCTAGGAGATGCTGGCAACTCCTGCTCTGCTTACCTGATTACCTGATGTAGGTTTTCCCTAACAACAGCCTGACTTCCCCACTGGGATAAGACAGCCCCGTTATTTTCACAGTCTGTCTAATGCTTGGCACTCATTTAAAAAGCAAGATCTCCATTCTAGTTGTGAATTGCGATATTGACTCAGCATAGAGACAGATCAGAGATGGGATACAGGGGAGTAAGGTAACTACTGAGGAACTACAACTGTTTGTTACTATACGAGCCCTTAAGGCCCTTCTGCACCTAATCCGCTGCGTTATCCCACTGCTCTAGTCCCTTCCATCCCTCAAGGCCAAGCAGGCAGACCTACAAGGGAATTCTGTACACCCTACAGCTATTGCATAGGTATCAGCTGTTCCCTGCAGCTCTTCTGACAGTCTCATCTAGAGGACCACCAAGCACCGGAGAGGGACAGCTTCTTGGGCCCATATGAAAGGTTCAGATGGGTTTCTCCACACAGCACGGTTGGTCAGGCCTCAAATCCTGCTCATTCAGCAACTGGAGGCTCAGAGCATGGACAGAAAGGTCTCCTCAAAACCTGCCATGATGCCACGCTTTACTCTGCAGAGGCGTATGTGTTGCCTGTGCCTCATCTGCCCCATTATAGACTCAAAAAAACCCAAAACCAACCCTAAACAAAAAAAATCCCACCCACAAAACAAGCACAGAGGCAGAGATCTGCCATGTTTAACATGACATTACCCAGCTAAGGAACAGATTACAGGGCTGACATTTAAAACACTGCACTGGCTGCTCATGACCACCAGAAAGAACATCATTTCCAACTCCAGGCATCATCTATTAATACAACAGACATCCACGAATCCTCGTGAAGTTGCCCAGTTAAAACTTAATTGTGCTGATCAGCAGGTCCTCGAAGAGGACACCTTTTTACTCAATCCCTTTGATTACCTGTATCTTGTTCGTGCTTCTGCCAGCCTCAAGCTACCAACCGCACAAAAAACCATCACGAACCCAATCGCAGTGGAGCACTGACAGCAGAGCCCCACTGTTACTAAGTGGCCTCTTTTCAAGTTTGAAGTGAGCCAGAGATGCTGAGGCTTCTTTCACAAGGCAACCCTGAGCCTATTTTAGCTGTCAAGCACCAGCAGAAGCAGCATCTGCTCCCTGCCAGCAACTACTGCTTTGCAAAGGAAGCCAGCTGCTTCGGACACTGCCTCGCATTAATACCTGTAAGAGCTTGGGCACACCTCAACTTATCGCTGCTTACTGTGTCCAATATGCCAGCCTATGAAACTTTTGACAACAGTACACAACTGTAATGTAGCAAATTGCTTCCCAGCCATGCTCAGATTTAATGTAGAACAAAAATCATGGAATTTCAAAGTGATGGGCCTTTACTAAGCTTGGCACTTCATCTCATCAGCTACTACATGATAAGTAACATTTTCTCCACAGCACTTCTTTTGTAGTGGCTTACACATACATTTTTAAGTTTTGCATGAATCATGACACCTTTATATTTATGTATACACATTTATATACTTATATTTACATACATATTTATGGATTTATTTTAAATACATTTTTATATTCATATACATAGAGAATGACTTTAAAAAAACTAAAATCACTCCAAACCCAAATTTTGTGCATAATAACCAGTTATTCTCACAGTATTTTGACGAAAAGCAGCTCAGGCAATGCTTGGCAAGCAACCAGGTTTTGAGCAATTCTCTGAAGTTTTCAGCTCTTCGTAAAAGTTTGCCTTTAAAGTGTCTGCTATCCTTTACAACACAATTAGGTACTGAGTTGCATATTCCACACAAAAAAGGAGGCTCACCTCTGAAGGCATCAGCAATAAACATTAATTTTTGGCATTTACGATGCAGTATTCAATTATTGTAATTTTTAGATTTACACTAAGCCTTAAATTCACTCTGAAATGTGAAGCTCGGTGGCTAGGTGGCTTTAAGAATAGTTTACAGATGACCATTTTCTTCTAACAGATTTTGCCAATGGACCTCCTTCCCAATTAAAGGAAACAGAAATAGTTTTCATGGCCCATCTAGTGGTTGTAGGCTGAGATGGCCAGCAGTGGGCTCAGTTGGTATAGACAGCACAGGGGGGTTTAGCAGTAAGAACACTTTTTTCCCCTCCCATCAGAATGTGAAATAAAAACCCCCTTTTTTTTTTAAATTGGGCCATGTAAAGCAAACATGCTCTCCCGTATTTATATAGTGCTATAGGATTTTCAATGCTGGTTCTCAATTCTCCAGCCTCACAAAGGCCATAGGGTTGTAACTGCTGGTATTATTCTGCCTGGTGAAGGTAAATAAGTTACAAGTAAAATACTTTTGCCAAAATACCTGGGTCAAGTGCCATTCCTTCTGTTGTGACGATACACAGCAAATCTGCCAGTTCACCTTGGTAAACCGTTGGGTTGTCAGAATGCACCGAGACATTAAAGACAGGACCTAGAAAAGAGTAACCACCATTATTCATGACAGGCTTCTCTTCAGTGTCCAAAACCTTTCTTGCATGTTTTTGAAGTATTCTCTGCTAGTTTGTGGAGACAGAGCTCTGAAGCAGGGATAAGCAGTCATCTAAATTTTCACAAAACAGTTGTCGACTTTTAGCTGTTAATTTCTGCACTAAGACAAAGTATCCAAACTGCCAGACCTGCCAACCAACACAGAGGCTACTGCCCAAGTCTGTCTTCTACAATCCCTGCACAAAACGAGCCAGTCTTCCACTAGTGACTTCTCTAAGAGCACGAGAGCTCATGTCTTCACGCTAATCCACCATGGATTTTTTGGGCTGAGGCTGCCAATAAGAATTCAAGTTAAAGCAAACCAGTATTTTAACAATACAGATGGTTCTGCTATGGAATTGAAACACAGACAGCACAAGAACTACATCTGATAACACTTTTTGGTGGGTTTTCCTTCAGGCTCTGCCACACATAGCTTCTTCTGTAAAAGATGTCTCAAAGCCTAAGGGCAGAACATTGCTAGAACTCTCTCTAGGGCAGAAACCAAAGTATGTGTCAAAATACCCTCAGTGATTTCTCTACTAAACAAGGTGAAAGAGTTGAGTAGAAGGAAAGCTGATGCTGGGCCTCTGGGATGGCTTTGGGAGAAGGGGCCAGGGAACCCAAGAAGGAACTTGGGACTCAGATAAAGCAGTAACAATTTTTACCCTCTCTAGACTCCATTAGCTGCTGTCATTACATGGCTCAGCGACCTCTGGGACAGCAGCAGCCGCAACAAGCATAGAAAGCTGGTTTGGGAGGAAAGAAAAGCTGTCAGAAGATCTGCCCTCCTCCATTATTACATGCTGCTGTTTTAGTACAGGAACTGTAAATTTCAAATCCTCTGAAGATCAGTGGCAAACAACGCTTTTAATGGAGAACATTTAAGCAAATCATCCAAGACAACCCACTTGTCCCTTGCCCTCCAAACAGGTTTCTGTGGAAAGCTATGCTGATAACAACACACTGCACACACTTAGCACATTACTTCCAAACTGAGGTTCTGGAAAGAAACTTGGATGAGTCATTGAAGCTAGAGCCATGATTTTTGGTGAAACTAATCTAGACTACAAGGGCATGGCTTGTTTTGGTCAGCAGAGATTACATAGCACACTAAGAAATGAATTCCAATTACAATAATTACTTCTGTGGCTTCCAAAATTCCCCCCACAATTTCCACTGGGCACAGTGTGCTACTCTTCATTATACCATAAATTTCTTACAGCCCTCTTCTCTGCCCCAGAAGCAGTTGTACTTTGTACACAAGGCAGTATGTAGACACACAATCCCAGAGGTGTGCACCCATTCTGACCCTAGAAGTTCTCAGTTAAGATTGCAAGTTACCCCACCAAGCAAGAATAAAAGAGCAGTAGAAATGCAATAGAGGTTACATGTGGACTACCCAGCTGAGACTCCTACATGCTTCTGCTAGAACATATTTAAGGAAATGAGAGACCCAGAACATGTCAAATTTCAGCTGTTCAGGTACTGGCTTCACGCGCAGGCTGTAGCCCTACCTTAAGCTAAGCATGATGGGATTCTTTTCTGGGGAAACGAAGAGAGATTAACCTGATTGCTTCCTCAGTCTCCATCCAAACTCCTTCAATGTGAATTTGTTTCCTGAAATTCACACACACGCACCCCCAACCATATTCCCCTTGCAGCCTACTTGATTATTCATCTTCAGATAAAACTAGACATTTTCCATCATTTTCTTTAGTGTTGTGCAGACAGAAGTTCAAGAACCTACAGGACTAAAGGGCAGCATGGACCAGGGCACTCCAGCCAACTGTAACCAGAAAAGTCTCAGGCTGTGAAAGAACTGTCACAGCAACAAGAAGACTGTCAAAATCTGCCAGGAACATCCCCGCATGCCCAGCACATACCCTCTGCTGCAATGACCAATGGCAAAACAGCACCGTAATAATCCTGGTACTGTCTATAGCTTGGGGTCTATCCTAAACCCCAGCAGCAAGTGAGGTAACATCACATCAGGAATATCGGATGTGCTCTACTGTAGTAAACAGGCTCTGCCCTGGCTAGATGCTGGCAGGGATTGAGCAAGGGAGATGAACTGCATGATCCCAACTTTGTCAGGCTAAGGATGGGCTGCCTTACTCCTGCCCTGACAGGGTAAACAAGGAAAGACAGAGGGTAAATATAAACAGGACTTTTCAGGCCTTATTTCTAGGTTGAAAGTCCAGGCATCTACTGCATTCAACAGACAATAGCTTCCAACCCCGGCATGCCAACACACCACTAATGCAGAGTGGAGTCTGAACACTGCCAGCCATTGGATGTCAGGAGGGTAAAAGCTAAGCTTATTTGGTCACTCAGCCAGGAAAGGCCATGTATCATGGTAATGCAGGACTCCCTACATACCCTTCAGTTCTGGGTCACCAAGCACATCTCTGCTCTGCCTCCCACATGAAGAGTCAAAGCCTCCTGGGCAGTAAGACGGCTGCTAGGCAGCAGCTGCTCTGTCATTTCATGATTGTACTTCCCCTTGGTAAGTCACAAACAGTGATTTCCCTTTGGTTATTTCTTTACTAGGGTACATCTCCTGCAAATTGCCATCTATACCTCCAAGGAGAAATCACTGTCCTGTGTTAGAAGAACTGGATTTCAACAGAGAGTTGAGAGGTGTGTCAGGGGCTGTGCTCTTCCCTCTCCAGCTGAGGATGTGGGAAACAATTATTGTGGGGTTTGTTTTTTTTTTAAACCTAAGCAAACTTCATTACAGTGAAAGCTTCTTAGCTCAGTCTTGAAAGCTGTGTAGTTGCAGCTTCCTAGGAAATGCATTTTTCTTCTTTGGTAGCATCTCAGGCCTTCTGTCCACACGCCCTGGGCCTCAGGCTGCCCCATTAGCCCTGAGCTGGACCACGAGGACTATTTAATCCCCTACCCTCCACCATAAAGAACACTTCAGTCAGAGCTGTAGTCACTACACAGACTGAGAAAGATTCACAGAAGCTGACACGGCTCTAATCCCTCAGCAGAAGTAATCTGCGTGCCTCCCTTCTCTATAGAAGGGTTCTGGTCTTGGTTTTCTTTGGTTTTATTTGAAAAAACCCAACCAACCAGTGCTTTTTAATCTGAATATCACTTCCCTGATTTATGTCCACAGCTTAAACTATTTACTCTGGCTTCAGCTGAAGCTGTCTGGCAACAGGATGAGAGAAGCAGGAATAAACTGCATGCTAATCTCAAAACAAAACAAAACAAAAAAACCCCAAACACGCAGCATCACCAAACCAGTGTTCGTTAGTGGGTTACAAGGAAAACCATCACCTTATGTAACTGGACATTTGCTTTACTACAGGCTGAAGAAAAGAACCTGGGCAAAAAAACAGCACCCAAGCAAACACAGGATCCTTCCAGACACATTTTCAAGGCTCCCGATAACCTCACAAGAGGTCACAAATGTGCCACAAAAATGTGTGTGTGTGTGACAAACAAAAACAAACAAAAAAACAGAAAAAAAACCAAAAAAAACACAACAAAACAAAACCCACAAACACACACCACAAAAAAACACCCCTCAACCCCAAGATTACAGATGCAAGCATGTGGTAACTGGCAGCTCCCAATAGACACCGACGACATGAAGTATCAGTGTCTCAGCATCGCCACGCTCGAGCACTCACAGTGTCACAAGAAAGGTTGGGGAAGTGGCATGAACTCTCCTTCAATGAGATCTGAGTTCATGCTACATTAACACTGAGAGAAATAGAACTCTACAGATAACAGATGATGTGGCTTTGCTCACCTTGCCACCTGTATTTAACAGTTTGAAATACTGTTATTGGCACCTACTGGTCACTCAGGAGAATAAACAAACCAGAATTTAGTTTCAATTGCAGGGCTGACAGATCAAGCATGATCTGTAAAGCTCATCAAGAGTTAAGTGTAGGAAAGCTGCTCAGGAGTTTGAAAGCTGAGAAATAATTGGATTTTAATAACTTCAAGCTTGAAGATAAGCATCATGGTGTCTCACCTAATTTGGAAACTGAAGAGCACAGATTTACAAAACAAACCAGCACTCCCAATTCTAAGAGCTAAGCAACAACCTTCCCTTAAATTGCCATCTTCTGCTGAGACCTCTGATTTAAAACTAAGCCAAAATATCTGTTCCTCACTATAGTAAGACCATATATAAGCTTAGATACAACCCCTAAAAGAAGTTTTCTTCTTTCTTAAAGTAATAATAATTTCATATTAAAAAGCATCTGCAGTCAAGATAGGAATAAAAAGAGTTTTCAGAGCATTTCTTGACTTCTGAATGCTTGAAAAGCACTATATAATATAAAACAGAAAGTGAAGAAACTGAGGTTAGAAGGTCACTTGTACCAATCTAGAAGTGCTTAAAGAGAAACCAAGTTCCAGGATCAGGACCTGTTTGGCGTATTTTCTTCTGAACGTCCCCCTTTAACCATTGATTTCATGCAGCTCAGGAAGGAAACTCCAGAATCCAAATCCTATAGGGATACAGTTTTAAGCTAAAAAATGTATTGCAAATTCTTCCACATATGTAAGTGAAAGCAAAAAGTGTTTATAAGCTGCAACAAATATGGTTTATTGCTTTGTGCTCAATAAGATTCACACTGAACAGGCTGCAAGGTGGAAAGGAGCAGTTCAAGTTAATTTACTCAGCTTAAGGGTTTACATATTGGAGAAAAATAAAATCCTGAGCCCTATTTACCTGACGTTACCCCATAGTCCCTGCTTTCCTTCCCTGCTCAGTAATCCAAACACCTTAAATGTGCAAGAAAAAGAAGGGGAAAACAAGGGAGAATAAGCAAAAGACAGTTAATGTCTAGATTTATAACAGAAGAGATCCCAATTACCTAGGTCCTAGGTGACATTTTGGCCTTTTCTGTATCATTTTAGCCAGTAATTCTCTGCAAGAATAAGGTATAGTCTCCCCAAAGACATGAGTTACCT